TATATATATATATATATAATGCCTACAAATATAATATATATTTTTAATATAAATTAATATATATCATATATAATCGTATTATTAGAAATGTATGTTTCTACAATAAGCAGCGCATAAATTTTCTACTCCTTCAATGATATTCTGAAAAATGTAAATTTGCACAAAAATCCGACAGCGAGAGTAAGTTTCTCAGATCTCGAGGAAAGGAATTATCAAATTATCGTGTACGTGAATTTAGAGAACCGACGCAAACTTTAAAGACTTTCAGCGTCATAAACGGATGTCCTCTTCGCAACACGTCTCAATTCCATCGAAGCATCACAAGTAGTCACTAATCCTCGTCCCTCCAATTAAAATTAACCTAGCCAATCACGCAAGCAACCGTTCTGAACAGTCGGAAATGGTTGTGCGCGTGTCCCCATCCCGTCAAGTAGAAGTGGTTTGGTGTCACGAGATTAGGTTATTCTGTCACGTGCCCGAGCCGCTGGGTCAACCCTAACCGGTGAACTGTCCCTTCGTCAGTGCGAGTTTTAATTAACGTTTACGAATCGCGCGGCAAAGGAGAGTGTAATCGTTCGCTTTTAGCGAACACCCTCTCGAGACATCTCGTGCGACTGGCGTGGCCCTCCGCGCTAAATAAATTAACCCCCGTGAGAGAGAGAGAGAGAGAGAGAAGGCACGTGCTTCGACGCGCTGACAACCCTCGTCGCTGGAGATTCGAGAGACGGGCCGGTTACCCACAACTATCCGGTTTATTAGCGACGATCGATCAAGGCAAGGGTTGCCTTTCTTCTCCCACCCCTCACGATTCTTGCCTGTTTAATTGAATTCCCAAGCGTCGATGAAGTGAATGCTGCTCGAGTGAAGTCTGTTGGAACGTCTCGCGTGGTAAGAATTTTAGGTCGCCATTGAATTCCATTGGCAGGTTAAGTATAGTTACATGTATATTGGACCAGATTCAAAGTCGCTTCAATTCTCATGTATATTCTCTAGCCTGTCGTCCTCGGTTCAAGTTTATTTTGAATGAATTTGTTTTGGATGGTTAAAAAAGTCTGAAGCGTCGAGGATTTTTCTGGCGTTTGTTCAAGCACGAAACACCGAGATTAAGGCACTACAATCTGGAGATTGCGACGTAGAACTAGCATAATAGAACAGTGAAAGTTCCACGAAAGAAGAACAGGAAACTCGACAAACAACAGATAAAAAATTCTGAAAGACAGAGAGATCGGTGTTATAATATCACGAAAACTTAACGAACAACTGACAAATAATTCTGAAAGATAATAGGAAGGAATATGTATCGCAGATCGATTATTTTCACTCTGCAGTAAAAATGGCCGCGTTTCTTGTACAAATGAATTGTAATTAATAGCTTAATATCAGGAAACTCGACAAATAATTCTGAAGGATTGAAGGAAGCAATATATATCGCAGATCTGTGTTAAAAATGACTGCGTTACTTCGTACGAACGAACGAAATTGTGATCAATACTGGTGTTAATATTAGAAAATAATTAAATT